TAGCCTCACCATGGATAGTCCTATCCAACATTATAGAAGTTTTCGAAGGGCCCAGAGATGCATTATTATGATGCCGTGTGTCCCTCATAATTTTGAAAATTCCCGGTAAAATATCAGTTTCTAGCCTTTATTGTAAAAAGAGTTATGTTGAGGTACAAACTGATGAACTATCGGTGGTGGATGTGGAGGAGATGCGCCTAGAGGTAAGCAAAAAGGATGGCATCATTGAGGATTTGAGGAGAACGATCGAAGAACTGAAGAAGCAAATGATCAAGCAAGATCGCTGCATGGATGCTTGTAAAGAAACCATAAGGAAACTGCTAATACAACAGAGCACCATGGAGAGAAAACAGGTGATTGTTTTATCCACAGTTCTTACCAGTGATTGTTCAAAAACACAAGGGCTGGAGAAGGGTCGAGATGGGGGGCGCTTGCGTGCTTCAGATTTTATGTTGAAATTTTTTACGAGCACTTTTATAAATAATTTCAAAAACCCGCAAAGATGCCTTAGAAGGCAATTCGTTCGAGATCCTAGGACGAAGGAGTGAGGAGTAAAAGCTGCGTTAAGTATCTTAAACTTCATTTTATTGTCGGCCTCGATTCACACACTGCCTGCTCGTCTCATATAGCGCCATCAGATATTTCCCATTTTGGGGGCGAGTCAAAAATGCCAGCTGTTTTTGTTGGACAGCTGTAGGCCCAGTTGGAATTTGCTCTTCTCAGGCACATGCGTAATGGCTTTCGTCCATTGGTTGCATCTTTCTGCTTTTTTTCATAAAGATGGAACGGAAAAGGGAGCTGTGTTTTAGTACACAGCTGTGTGCACAATTTCATATTGTTGATGTGTTCGGGCGATCTTCTACCGATGTTATATCTCACAGGCGAAAGCGAAATGCATGGAAAATTGCTTGCGTATTGGGCAGTTCAAGCCGACACGTCATCGCGAAGAGTTCCGTGAGGTGTGGGCCGATGGCTGGGCATTCGAGGAGATCAACAAAGCGCAGCAGAGGATTGCAAATGAACGCAATGAAATAATCAACGCCTCACAGAACCTCAAAAAGAGGAAACCACCGGGCAATCATCCGCGAGACTTTAAAAGGTATCCGTTCTCGTTGGCTAGCGATTTGGCCGCAACCGCCTGCTGTGAATTTGCTAGGAATGCGTTCGTTTTTGCTCGGTCAAACTCATCCGTTGCTTGAGCTGATTCGCGTGAACGCTCTAGGGATTTGAAATTGATGTATGACCTCAGGTAATTTCCGGCTCGCTACTTCC